TCAATTCTAAAATTTACCCGGATACCTCTGGCCAAACTCGATAGCTAACTCCTCCATTTGGACCTGTTCCCAAAAACAATTCTAGATCTCACGACCTAACCAAAATTCCTATTTCCTCTTGGATACTCAACTCTCCTAGTCTAAATTTCTCTCGATGTAATGATAATTTATTGGTAACTACAACTGCTGTTTACATTAACTTCTGCACAGCTACTATTCAGCATACATGGTGTTCAATCACAAATTAATCCCTTAATTTGTAATCTCACAGTATTCTTAACTTCTTAACCTTTTATAGTTTTCCCGTGTATAATTGAAACATATCGTGTAATATTTTAATAATTAGAGTCCATTTACTTGCAACTTAATAAATTCCGAATAATATATGTATTTTCAAATTGAACTTCCTAAGTGTTGCAATAATGGCCTAGATTAAATTGTATTGTAAGCTCATAATTCAAAGTTTGTTAGTATGATAGAAGCATTAAAATGTGTGCTGAGGTATACATTATTTGTGAAATTTTGAGCTCATTTGAGCGCAGCCTCTATTGTAGAAAGTTACCTAACCAATAACTAGATTGTAATTATTAGTAACTGTCAATAAAACTATAATTTTACTCCACGACTTCGACATTTTATTATATTACCATCGTCGATCGAAAAGAATCGGACAAAAGGGCATTAGAAAACAATTTGATTCTGAAATTTACATCGTATCTGTCCACATGGACTTGCCATACTACCACTTTTTCAAACACTTTCGATAACAAAAGATACTTTTTTAATTCAAGCAATTTAATTTTCTTCTACCGTTCAAATTCACCGGCATGGGGCCTATAGGCAAACAATGAATCTGGCAACTGAGCCGCAAAGCCGACAAAGACAAATTTAGAAAGTCGATTAATTAATTATAGTTAAATATTATTAATAATAACATAACTATTATGTATATACCTAGTATAACAATGTAGGCAGTCAAAGTAAGATATCTTGCCTATCCAACGATACCTTCAGGTATAAACTTGTTTAAACTTCATCTTTTACAATATAAAAACTACCGTCATTTATAAATGAAAAATAAATAATTTTTTACTATATCTTATTCATGCCAAAAATATATATGGGCGTTCTTGTATCCTAATCACTTTTCTAAACATAAAGCAAAATCGTTATTGAAAACATAACAAAAGTTGCGGAAGACTGTCTCAATCTTTTCAATCGTTCAAAGTATCATCAATAAAGCCATTCTAGCGTGAGTACGAACCAGTACAGTAACCCAGTTGTTTAGTCTTATATACTATAATATATTATATGATATAAACGGCTGAAATTCCTAAATCAATCATTTTACCTCCGATTTAATGCCACAAAGGCACAACATTTCGATCTAGTCGTTCTCCTCAGTTTTTCTTCGCTTTTCAAAGAGTTAATAACTGAAGGGCACGCGGAATTTAAAAATTATAGTACACCCATCGCGGGACTGTCATTTGCGGCTTTTAATCAATCACATTTTTGCCGGCACAAGTTTGGCGGTAGTGTGTATACAAAGGGAGTGAGTTTGTCTGTGTGGGGTTAGTATTTATTATATCTTTTGTTTATATAAAACATGCCTTTTGACTGTCCAGCACTGTGAAAAATCATACTACATAACTTCTTTGCATATTAGATTATATTATAATAACAATGACATAAGTCTAAATAATATTTAGTAGATATAATTTTTAACTAATTTTACATGGGTTAAACTTAAAGAAGAAGCTATTTGTATTTATTTGTATGTACTTACTTTTATTTTCGTAAATATCTTCAACTGTAGCGTGTTTTTAACTGTGTCGAGCTGACACCTGATACCTGATACCTTTCGTTATACCATATAATACCTTTATGCGTAGATTACTCTAATCTAAATATTCTTCAATATCTTGAATTACAAACTTTGTTATTAATTACGTATTTTTTTCTATTTTGTATGTAATAAATGTTCTGTAAAATTTTTATCGAATTACAGTGCCTTCATAAAATGTGGGAATGCTCTATTATCTTACGAAGTTAATTGTTTTCGGAGAAAATCAACAGAAAGATTTTTATTTCAATTTTCTATTCTGTTCCTGATACCTTTCGTTTTTTTTTTATTTAGAAAATCGCATCGACCAAATGGCCATTAGCGAAAAGTTAATGGATTACATTATGTACAATTACGGTTTGCATTACAGTTTGGTTTATTAAATATTGTGGTACTTATTAATAATAATTAATAAGGTATTAATCTTGGCTTCTTGACGTAGGTAACACATTTCATGTCTCTATCCTTATTGTCACTTATTTTAATTTTGAATTCGACACATTCCATTTATTTTTCCATGCACTTAAGATTGTGTTTTTTTTATATAAGCTTTTATATCCGTTGATACCGATGTGTTTACGATTTCGAAAACGTCACCCACTATCGCGTCTTTCGCAGTATGGTCAGCAGTTTCGTTGCCTTTTATTTCCTATATGGATTGGATCCAGATGAAAGTTATCTCATTATGATTGATATAAGCCTGAAGAAGGACTGTTTAATTTTTTTTTTAAACGGGTTTTGTGGATACATTTGTCTGTATAGCACTAAGTGAGTCTTTTAAGATAATATATTTGCAATTTGTTGTGATTGATTCGTTCTATGGCGCGATAAAGAGCATACAGTTCAGCTGTATAGATAGTACTAACATTAGATTGTTTGAATTTAAGATTTTCTCTGGAGTTACTACAGACGCTCCCACACCTTCCGATGATTTTGAACCATCAGTGTATATCTGGAATATGATTTTTACAACGACTAAGGATTTATCTAAAATGGGAATAATTAAATTTTGAATAGTGGAGTTTTTGTCAAATGACGTAAGTTTCAAAGTTATATGATGATATGTTTTGAGTCCAAGGTGATTATGGTCAATGTGTATGAAAGACATTCAGGTATGACAATATCAAACATATGCAAATGGTCTTTTGTTCGTTTATATAAAGGTTTAACAGAACGGTGATTTATATTAAGGTTTGGGAAATTATCAATAAAAGTGTTTCTATACACAGAATTTTTTGCATTATTCTTAATTTTTGTTGCATACGTTAGACTAAGGTAAGCTCTTCTATCATTTAACGACAATTCATTTGTCGTCAATTTTTAGTTAAAATTCATCTTCTGTAACATTTACATGTTAGATTATTGATATGTTCTTTCCAATTCAACTTTCTGTCAAAAGTAACTCCTAGTAATTTTAGCGAATCTTTTTTGTTGTTGTGATTGTTTGTATAGATATAATGAGATTGGTGTACTGACTTTGTTTTTAGAAAATACTATATATTTAGTTTTAGTTGTTGAAAAGATCAATCCAGTTTTTGTGACCTTTTTTCAATATCTAACAAGAAACTGCAAGTTGTGAGAGGTTGTTTTAGTTTTTGCTTTGACCAAATATTACGAGATCGACAGCATATAAGCGATTTAAGTGGAGTTTTAAATTTCGTAGAATGATTTATGGCGATTATAAATAGCGTAGGGCTTATAACAGATCCCTGAGGAATTTCATTTCCTAATTCCACTTTTGACGACAAGTTACCATTTACTCTAACTTGCATATACCTTTTATATAAGAGGTTTTTTATAAATGCAAGGGCAGTGTCCTTTAATTTCTAAATCGTACAGTAATCTGATGATACGATGGCGCCAAGCTGTATCAAAGGCTCTTTCAGTGTCGAAGAATATTCCATAATTTTTGATTAAGGGAGAAGGCTTCATGTAGACTGCTCTCTATAATATTGTCTAGAGTTGATCTATTTTGTCGGAAACCACTTTGTTCTGGAATGATAATATTTCGATCTTCAAATGTCCAGGGGAGACGACGGTTGGCCATTTTTTCTAACAGTTTGCATGCAGTACATGTTAGTGCAATTGGTCTATAAGACTCAGGATCTGCTTTGGGACATTTTGGTTTTAATATTGGTATTATAATAGAATCTCTCCACGTTGTTGAAAATTTCTGTTCTGTCCAAATAATATTAAAGATGTTAAGAAGATGATTGTGTGCAATCTCAGGTAAATTCTTAAGAAAAACGATTGGGATATTATCTGGACATTCACTAGTCTCTTTAAATGAGTTTAATGCATCTTTGTATTCATTTATATTAAATTTGTAGTTTAAAGCATCTGTGTCATCTACAAACGGTATAATTATATTGCATTCTTCGTTCTGTTTAAAGTTGATAAAATTATTATTATCATTGCTTGTATTAGATCTATTTTTATACGTATTAGCAAATTCTTCTGCTATTTCTAGGTCATCTGTGATTATTCTATTATCTTTCTTTAGTTGAGTGATTTTGTTATAAGCTGGTATTGCAGATATTTTTTTGACAGTCTTCCACATTTCAGACATATGGGTCCGACTGTTTATACTGGACACAAATTGAGCCCACGAATTTCTTTTTGAAGTTTTTATTGTTAACTGAGCTTTAAGTTTTTGAAATTATATTTTATTGTTAAGTGTTTTATGTCTTTTGTATTTGTCAAAGGCTTTTTTGGAAGCTTCGATCGATGTCTTACATTGTTTTTTTCCACAAGGAACTGGTTTATGATTTGTAATAAGTGCAGTTTTTTTTAATGGTTACCTTGGTTGCATCTAAGATGATGCTGAAGAAGGTTTCGATGTCTGTGTTAATATTGTTGGATATTTTACAGTTTGTGACATGTCTTTTTATGATATCTTTAAATATTGTCCAATTTGCCTCCTTTGTTTTCCATTTAAAGGGGTGCTTTCTATTTTTGGGCTTGAACAAGTTATTGGTGATTATTATTGTGTAATGATCACTGTTATAAATGTAGTCTAATCTGTTCCATGTCATTAATGCAGAGAAGTTATTATCCGCTATCGTTAAGTCCAAGGGAGTTGATTCGCCTATTTGTATATTGAATATTGTAGAGCGTCCATCATTCAACAGTGATAAGTTATACTGATTTATTAATTCTTCAATAATAATTATTAATTAATTAATTCTTCAATAAACTCCAAAACCTCTCAAATGAAAATCTGGGTTTTGGGATGTAATTTCAAAAACTCTCCACAATCTTTACATTATTTGCGTGTACTAAAATTCAGTAATTTTTAATTCAAATCGCAAGGAAACGTGACTTAACAAAACAAAAAATATTTATACATTCTTCGACAATTTACCGTTCTAAACAGTTTTTGTACCTACTGTAAAATTTAAAAGATTTTCACACATAACACATAATATATTAATAAACATAGGTCACGTTTGTTAGTCTTTTACACATTTCTGGTTCTATTTTCCCTTCCGTTTTCTTCATTGATCCCTATTATTTGATATTTTTAATTTGTCTAAATAAAAGTCGTATTGTAACATAATTATTAATATCTGACATCACTGCCACCGATGACATAGGATGATATAACCGGATGTTGTCAATTGATATTTAGCCATTAGATTGTAAGCTACGGACATAACGTTTTGTTATAAGCAATTTTTAAGAAGTTATTGTTCTTTTCGGTAATTATACCGCTCATAGTGATGTTAATTTTATTTATTTCAAACTGAAACGCGGAAATAAGCCTATCCATGTCGTATACTTTACACCATATACCCTACCATTCCTTATAGTATAGATTTTCGATATAGTACATTTATTTATAATATCAATTAAAAATGCTACAAGGCATTTAAATATTTGATAAAACCAACCAAATTAAAAATATTAAATTTGACGTGTGACAGAGTGATCACCATTTGGTGATAATGTATCGATTCATTATCACCGAAACTGTTCATAACTAAAAACTAAAACTCCTTCTTGCAGATGGCATTATTCATATTAGAAGTGACCTAGTGAAAGGAAAATAATGTTAAATAAGCTAAATGCTCTTTGCGTGGTGGTGTAAATTTTAAATAAAACCAAATGTATAACCAATTTGATCTTAAGTGAAGATTGTCCGAAGAAACGTGAAACTAGTGGAAGTATAGTTATCCCAATAATTATTACAATTCCTCTATTATCTTGTAATATATTAAGTCTTGAAAAACACAGGGGCTTTGTAATTGATAAGACAATCATGTAAAATCAATGCATTGCTAACACAATATAAAGTTGAAACCAAACATACTTTTTTTTTTAAATACGATACCAAAGATTTTTTTTTTATTCATTAACTCAATGGCATTTTTTTTACCTTTTTACCGTGTTAGATTTTTTCTTATTCATTATTTAAGTACATAAAATCATTGATATTTAAAATATATTCATCAAAATTTAAATTCACTGTGAAACCACATTGACTTGTGGTTTTAATCAATCACATATTGTCAGCGAAACAATTGGGGCTTGTTGTTGTTCTGCAATACGCGTGACGTTGGCTTGTAAAGGGGTCGTCTTTTATTAATGAACCCTTTGAAAAATTATAGTGTATGAATTCATAGAGGCGTAATATATATATATATTTAGTTATATATATATATGTATATATATATATATATATATATATATATATATATATATTATGTATATATAATATGCTTAGCAACTTGGCTGAAGCCCGTAATGAAGACATGCCTACATTTTACTTTTATTATTCCCTCGCATTTTCTATTTGTTTTAAGCGTTTTAATTTAACGTTTGGCATTCCTTTCCTTAGGTAGCTGTAGCTTCCTCCGTAGTTATTGTTAGATGTTGCCCTGGAAACCATAGATTAGAGGAGCTGGAAACCGTCAGGGTCTTTAACTCTAATGCCACAAATTGGTCGCATTGCTCCAGTAGTGATCCTTTTCCAAGTTGGCATGCTCTTTTTTTACTTGACTGTACTAGGTGACCAATAATCAGAAATGTAGACCATTTTTTCTTGTCTACGCTATGAGATCTTGCACATAGCGTTCTGAAACACAGAGAATATCGTATTTCTTCGTCATTTAAACTGCAATTGCATTACAGACGCAGAGGTACTATCACTATATATCACTAAGTTGGTATTAACAACTCCTTAACTTAACAAAACCTATAGAAATATCAATCTCATATCAGAAAACTAAAACAAGAGTTATCAGTACAGAACCAACCAGATGTAAAATAGAAATTGATGGCATCAGTATTGAACAAGAAATGGAAATAAAATAATTTGGAATTACACTGTCCAGCTATGGAGACTTGGACAAAAAAATAAGAGATCAAGTACAAAGAGCAAATAGACTGACAGGATGCCTTAATTACACTATAGGGCGTAACAGACACATTAACACTGAGATGAAGTCAAGAATTTATAAAGTCAGTGTAAAATCAATAATGACATGCCTCGGAAACAAGATCCGATACAGCCACAACACAAAGGTACAGAAAGCGACAGAGATGATATTACTGAGAAGAATTACATGAAATGCGCTGAGAGATTGAAAGAGAAGTGATGACATTAGAAGAAAATGTAACGTACAGTGTATAAACGAATGGACACTAAATAGAAAAAAATTGAAATAACTACGTAAGCAGAATGGGGGAGACCTGTGTCATCACAATAGTAAGAAATAAGTCACCAAATGGCAGAAGAAGTATCGGACGACCACGCAAAAGATGGAGTGACAAACTTCCATAGAGTTATTAATCCACCAATGAACAAGCAGAATTACTTATAAAGATGATGAAGAAGAAGAAGAAGAAGAAGAAGAAGTTTGTATTATTCAAATTTTGTTTCCATAATAATTTCGTAATATGTATAGTGTTACCGTAACAACTTAATATAAATAACTTTGTTAAGTTCCCAAAAAATGTGTATAGGAACTTTAAAATTGATTTAAGTAAAAAAAAAAGTATCAGCATTGGGATACTTATGGTATGGCAAGAGCAAAAAAACCGTAGTAGCAACTACCCTCCATCAAATACCTACCCTCAGTTCAACTCAAACTCAAAGCATTTCACTTCATATCAAAGCTCCTATTATCTATTCATCCTTTTCTTATGATGGAAAATCACCTGTGCCAAAGCCCTTGTTACGTTAGGAAAGATACCAGATTCAGATAAAGCTGAAGTACAACCTCAGGACTATTAAAACCCAAGCTCCTACTTTGAAGATGATACTAGACCAAAATTGTTCTTACCTGTAGTATCTTCTTTGCCAGAAGAAAATATAGTTTATTTAAATGAGATAAAAGGTTTGATGGTCCAATTTAAAATTCAGTATGAATCCTCTCAATGGCGTCTCTGTATCGAGTCATCGAAGCGCAGCTTAAATCCGTTTTACTATATAACGGTGGTTTCTGTGCTTCTGTTTCTGTTGGAAATTTTGTGTTGTTAAAAAAGACCTATGAGAACTTTAAAAAGATTTTTCAAAACTCAAATATTAAAATAATGGTTGGCAAATGTGTAGTTATTTGAAGATCGTGTGTATGCTGCTTAGACAACAAGATATTTACCCCAAATTGGTTCGGATTTTGTGTCTACGGGACAGTTCAGACCGAAAAAATCGCTGGTCAATAGAAATTTGGGAACCAAAAACACTTACGGTTGGAAAAAACCGGTTGCAATGTTCTGCAACAAACTTGACATCACCAGAAAAAAAAATCATTTCTGCTCTTTATATAAAGTCAATTTACCAAATAAATCCCAAAAATTTTTGAAGAATATAAAAATTGTTTAAAAATTCTTTATAAAAAGGTATAATATTAAAAACCCCTTCGGATTGCATCACAGAACGTTTTTGGAATGAATATTTTATCCTAAATACATGGATTAAAACCCTTTATATATCGTTAAATTACTTTGAGTTACATTTTTTTACGTTATAAAACTATGATGTTTAAGTTACAACAGGAATATATAACATGACAACGTAAGATCCACTGGAGGTTGCTAGTCCTGATACGAAGTGTCTACGAAGACTTGTTGATAACAACTAAACTTTGAACATTTTGCTCCATATTACAAACTTCCCGGTAACCCATTAATACCTAGACTGTATGGTTTACCCTAAATACATAAGGAGGGCATTCCGATTCGTTCAATTGTTAGTTTTAGAAACACTCCAGTTTACATTTTATCAAAATGTATATTGAACCTCATTAACAAAATGACGAACTTTACCCCCAGTTTCTCAGAGAAAAACACCAGTCATCTAGTAAATAACCTACAACAGATTAATTTTCGCCCCAACACGGCAGCTGTATCTCTTCTATATTAGATAATGTATTTATGGATCATTTAGAATTTTACATATTATGAAAAATCCTGAAATACTCTATTGGTTTGGCTACGTTGACGACAGTTTAGTCTTCATTTTAGGTAACTCCAACTTAGCTGAACTATTACTTTCTAAAATCAACCAAATCCACCCCTACATTAGGTTCACAATGCAACTAGAATCATCCAAATCAATCAACTTTCTTGATCTCACCATTACCAAATTAAATTACCACTTCGACTTCAGTATCTATAGGAAAGGAAACCCACACAGACCGACCATGTAATACCCTTCTCTTCAAATCACTTTATGTCACACAAATATTCAGTTTTTACAGTTACATCCATCGCATAGCTGGAAAACCATTCTGCTTTCTCAGTCGAAGTATAAAAAAGAATTGATTATTATCTTTTCACCAGACAGGAGTTTTGGAGAATGTTTTAAATACTTTACTAAAAAGTTTCCAGGTCTCTTGGAGACGAAATTAAAGGAAGTTATATTTGTTGTACCAGATATCAGAAGACTTCTAGAAGATCGAAAGTTTGCTAACACTATGACAGATCTCCAGAAAGAATTTTTGCGTAACAATAACGATCCTTATTACAAAAAATACAGACACAAGAATAAGTTAATCCCAGAAAATAGTGGCCATCACCTTTTGGTCTATAGAACAGTATTCAGCTTCTTTGGGGAACATTCGCCGAGCGCCGTTCACTGTTTGGACTATTCCTTGGCCTCTGGTATATACACGTTGATCCATGTTTCGTGGATGGTTACAAAACGACATAGAAACTCCTTGGAATTACGCTTAAATAACGTCAAACACTGCTCTGAAATGGTATCACGGTTGCGCTTGTTTTCCGAAATGAGCAAACGCTGTAACCTATCGTACCGACAGCTGTGTTATGTCCAAAATTACATGCAGGATATGACATATGAAGTCTTTTGAGATTGCTGTATCAGCTATCTTGCACTCGCTCTTTGATTTCGCTGCACAATTTCACTTCCAAAAATAAGAATCGGATCACCTATCGATATTGCTCTTTTCTCATTTTTTTAAAATCCACGGACACGCTCGCTTTTACATGGGGTTAAAACAAAACTCTGAGCCCGATTCGGCTGAAATTTTGACATTAGCCGAACTATATCCTGATAGTGTAAAAATGTGGAAAAAATGGGAACCGGATATTTTGACAAGACCTCCCCCGAATGGGTACCTTTTAAACGCAATATTGTTTAAGTATGGAAATTGGAAGGTGTTTTCACAGAAGCACTTTTTTCATGTGATCATACATTGATCAATTGTAATAATTAGTATTCGCAAATTTGATTATTTAATCAGTAGATCCGTAGAATCATAGATCTTAATACGATAAAACAAATATCAGATTTCAATCTTTCACTCGTTAGTCTTTCAGTTTCGCTAACGAACATTGAAAATCTGTGAAAGAACTAGAGTCTTCTAAAATCTTAAGTTTTAGAGTCACACACTATCGGTAAAGAGTTGTGTCCAATTCGTTATTTACGTGTACAACCTTTGTTAGTGTTCATTTATCAAAATAGAATTTTTTATAAAAATCATAAATGTGTTGTTATGTGAGTTAATTTCAAATAGGTAAAGAATAATAAATAAGACTTACTCACAATCAATTTAATTTAACTATCAGACGACGGTTTCGCTTTCTACAAATATGCAAAGCATCGCAGGTTCTCGATACAAAGTTAATAAATGCTGAAATGATAAAACTATTAGGGTGTGGTCTAATAAGATAAACAAAGTAGATGTTGTAAATTACAATAATTATGCCAATATTACATGTCTGTGGTAACATTATACTTATTCGAGAGATATATTATGAAAATAATTTTAATATTTACAATGGTATATTACATCACTTTCATTTAACAAACAATCACACACATATCTCTGCTTCATTGGATCAAATCTATCTCCTCAAGAACTTCCCGTTTACTGTCAAACAACTACAATAGCAGAATTGAGTTCTCCATTCAACAATACATAGTAGTTTCAACCATGTTCTACCATCCATCAATTAATAGAGTACCGGCATGTAAGTAATGTTTATTTTTATTTATTTGCTCATTTATTAATTTATTACAATTTAATAGACTATTTTTATAACAATTTGTGGGCCTTACCTTGTCTGTTTAAACTTTTAAAACTTTTATACCTTTTTATTCAACTTACTCTTTTTGAAATAAAAACCATCGACATGTATATTTGGCATAATTATTGTAATTTACACATCTACTTTCTTTATTTTTATTAGACAAACACCTAATATGGGTTTTTATCATTTCAGCATTATATTTAACTTTGTATCGAGACCAGAGGATGCTTTGCATATTAGAAAGCGAAACCGGTCGTCTGATAGTTAAATTAAATTGATTGTGAGTAAGTCTTATTTATTTATTTCTTTACCTATTAGAATATTTTTTATGTCTCTGTTTTTTATTTTGTTGATTTTTCTCTTAATTTATCATTCAGCTTAGGTGAAAGAAATCTGGGAAGATTATTTTGCCACGTTTTCCCCACTTATACATCTTCTTATACTGTTAAAATTTTTTTGATTTCTTTAAGAACTATTTCTAAAATTTTATTTTTTGCACTAATTTTCTATTTTAAACACACGCTACGTCATGTAATAGATTTCTAAGCTTACCCATTAAAAATTAGGGGCGAGGTTGTAATTGGCTTGACTGCATCTCCCTGTTGTTAAAGTGTCTAGTGGCGATTAAGGGATTATCTTTTATGTGATTTGTAGACTGGAGGGTGACACCATGCGCTGTTTAGCAGGTGTTGGTAATATACAAAGCTTAAAAATGTTAACCCTATTGCACTTATTGTTTAGGTATTTGTTTTTTGATTACATCTAGACATATTGGATCACTTTAAAATACAAAAACGTCAATTAGCATGAATATCATAGTTAATATAATCAAATTTGATTTTGAGTTTTAAATTTCAGTTCAAAATAAATTTATTTTGACGTTTCGATTTCCATCTTAGAAATCGTTCTCCAAATACAAATATTTAAAATTATAAAAGAGAAGGGTACCGGTAGTTGTCTATATAACATAATTTAAATTAACTTAAAGTGACGTAAAATCAGATATCCACACTAAGCGAAATCCAAGAGGTAATGAAAAGATGAAAACAAAACAACAAAGCACCAGGAGAAGCTATAAAGATAGGCGGACGTGTCCTTCTCAAGCAAATAAAAATTTTGTTTAACCTTTGTCTAACAGATTGTTGTATACCGGAAACATGGAACAATGCGGTTACAATTTTACTACACAAGAAAGGAGACAAGGCGCTTCTAGAAAACTACAGACCAATCAGCTTATTGAACCACATATATAAAATGTTTAACCGAATAATTACGACAAGACCAGAAAAAAAGTTGGATTTCTACCAGCCCCGAGAACAAGTTGGCTTCCGCTCAAAATTCGGAACAACCGATCACGTACAAACAGTAAAAACAATAGAAAAATCGATATAATATAACAGATCACTGGGTACTTATCTTCGTAGACTTTCACAAAGCCTTCGATACCGTGAAATTAGACAGCATTATATCTGCTCTAAACAATGGTAGAATAGACTACCGGTTTACAAAGTTAGTACAAACATTATACCAAAAAGCCGCAATGAGTGTAAAACTACATGATACCACCAGAGAATTCATATAAAGCAAGGTGTAGACAGAGTGACATTTCTCACTAAATTATTTATAACGGTCTTTGAATACGCCTTTAAAATGCTTTTGTGGGAAAATAGAGAAATTAAAACAGACGAGTTTTGCAGACGATATAGTACCTATACCGAAGATCTGCGACGTAAAGCAGAACAAAATACTACAAGAATTAGAAAACGTACTCTTCAACAATAGGTCTATAAATGAACATTAGTAAGATCAAAATTTATGACAAATTTGGTTCCAGCGAACACCTTACCATCCAAAATCAAGTGTAGAATTGACAGAAAAGTACATCTACCTCGGTAATGAAATTAATCAGAATAAGCAATGATAATCAGACGAGTGAGTTTCACGACGAATAACACTTGCTTGGGCAGCGTATGTTTCACTAAGGGCGGTTCTACAATGCTAGTTATTACTGAGAATAAAGTTATACTTGGAATAACTTCATTAATGGTGTTCTACAAACAAAGAATAAATAGGAATAAGATAATCAGAGTATATCTGTAGAATAACTTTATCCCTCCAAAGTTTAGCAGATATACCGAGTATAAATTTATACTGCATTTCTATGGTCGGGTCAGGTGTTGTCAAATAAGTAATATTTAACGTCACTTTGTTTGTTTTTATATATAAAATAAAATTTTGATATTGCCACAAACATTT